GCCCATGGACTTAGTTACTCCACGGCATGTGGAATCTTCCTGGACCAGTGATTGAACCTGTGCCCCCTGCAGTAGCAGGCAGATTTCTCTTCATAGCACCACCAGGTAAGTCCTCATCTTTTTTTAAATTTATTTTTTATTGAGGTATAGTTGGATTACAATGTTGTGCTCATTACTGCTCTACTGCAAAGTGACTCATTCTACATATATGAACATTCTTTTTCATGTATTTATATTACAGTTTATCATAGGATGTTTAATTTAATTCCCTGTGCTGTACAATAAGACTTCTGTCATTTATTCATTCTATATACACTAGTTTGCATCTGCTAATCCCAAACTCCCAATCCAACCCTCTCCCACCCATCTCTGCCTTGGCAACCACTGGCCTGTTCTCTATGTCCCTGATTCTATTTCTGTTTCATATATAGGTTCATTTGTGTCATATTTTAGGTTCTACTTATAAGTGATGTCATATGGTATTTGTGTGTCTTCCTTACTTCACTTAGTATGATCATCTCTAGGTCCATCTGTATTGCTGCAAATGACATTATTTCATTCTTTTTTTATGACTGAGTAGTATTCCATTATATATTGTACAACATCTTTATCCATTCATTTGTTGATGGACATTTAGGCTGTTTTCATGTCTTGGCTATTGTGAATAGTGCTGCTATGAGCATAGGAATGCATGTATCTTTTTTGAATCATAGTTTTGTCTGGATATATGCCCAGGGTAGATTGCTAGATAATATGGTAGTTCAATTTTTAGTTTTCTAAATAGAATCTCTATACTATTTTCCATAGTGACTGCACCAATTTACATTCCCACCAGCAGTTTAGGAGGGTTCCCTTTTCTCCATACTATCTACAGTATTTGTTGTTTGTAGACTTTTTGATGATGGCCATTCTGAAGTTCTCATCTTTAGAGAAGGAGTTGGCTGCTTTCCACTTCCACGCCCCTCTTCCTACTGGGTGGGAAATGGTAACAACAGGAGCTGACATTTTGAATCCAGAGAGGGCAGCCCTGTGTTATGGCTGGCAAAATCCAGGGTTGTTGCATGAAAAAGAAAAACAAAGCAAAACAAACTTCTCTCTTATTTAAGGCATTGCATGTTAGGCTCTATTACAGCACTTAACCCTTCATGATACACTATCCTTTAAGAATTTCCTTGATAATTACACAGGTTGACTATCTTTGTTCTATACTCCAGTAGCATTTCTGTGCTTTCCTTCTTGTTAATACCCTGACCCATGCTAAGAAATTCATGAGGCCAGGAATCCTATCTGTCTTGATTATGGTCATATCTTCCTTTCCCTCCATTATGATTGACACACAGTGTGTGCTAGACGGTATTTGTTGGTTAAATAACTGAATTATTGGGCAAACAAATGAATATATTAAAACAGCTTGGGTGTAATAGTAGAAAACTTTTTGCTATAAGCAATAGTGACTTAAACAAATGGGGGCTTATATTCTCACATAACCGGAAGTCTGGAGGTCAGTGATTCCATGCTAAACAGTGCAACGGTTTCAAAGTTCTTTAGGAATTTTTTTTTCTTGACCTTTGCCTCTTGGCTGTTAGATGGCTGCAACAGCTCCAAGTAGCAGTTTCTTACATGACAGCATTCCCATTCCAGGAAGGGAGCAGGAAGGAAAATAATTCCCCTTCCAGGTATTTCTCCTTTGTTAGGGAGGGAAATCTTTTTTCAGGACCCTCCCAGCAGATGTACCTTATATAATGTGACCAGAACAAGGTCACATGACCACCATTAACTTCATGGGCAGTTGGGAGAGGAAATGTTTTCCTTTTTTAAGACCCAGCTGGGTTTTGGTACTGTGGGGCTCATTGAGGCTGGTAGGAAGAAGCCAGATCTAAGAGCCCATGCCTTTCCTTACCCAGATGGTCCCCATTCAGGAAGTCCCAGGGACTACAGGGTATCATGATGTGGTCACAAATAAAAGGATCATGCATTGTGCTTAATGCTTGCTGGAGAATGTCACTTTCTGTCTCTTGAAATTCTTTCCTAGACACTGACCTGCCCAGGAGACTGAACTCTGCCAACAAGTTTACCTGTTCCAGTAAAATCCATTGACTATCATCTCTGTGGTCACAGCAGTAACTGTCCACCAACCACGTGCCCATGTGCCTGGGGCCTGAACCAGCGAAATAACCTCTTTGTGCCTCCTCCTCCTTGTTTGTCAAATGGGGCTAGTTATCTCATAGGATTGTTGTGAGGATTAAATTAGTTAATACATTCAAAGTGCTTAGAACAGTACCTGGCACACAGGGCTAAATAAGAGTTTGCTGTTGTCATTTCATTATATCCCGATTTCATACATGAGATTATATGCTCAGAAAGGTTAAAGAACTTGCCCAAGGTCATGCAGCTGGGAGAACCATCAGTCAAGCCTGATCTGTCTGACTCCAGAGCCCATACCCTTTCTTCTCCAACCACAGGCCTTCTCTGAGATGACAAGTTTCTCCTGAATGTCCCAAGGGTGGGGTGTCTGGCCACAGACACTTCAGGGCCCAGATGGAATGCCACCTTCTTCCAGAAGCCTGCCTGGAGACTTGCTCTCTATTCCTCACCAGCATGTGGCAGCCTTTCTGGAGAATGTGAAAACTGCCCCTTGTCTCTTCCTTGGAGGCAGAGAAGGTCAGTCTTGCCACTGTTGTGATCATTGACACAGATACAATGTTAGTCCTCCAGGAGAACCTCGTCCTGATAAGGACACTGATGCCCAGGTAAGGCGCTCACTGCAGGGCGGACAGCCAGTACTGGCCGAGCTGTGCCTGCAGCTCCCACCAGCAAACGCCCCATTCAGTGGTCTTTCCTCTGCTCAGGGCTCCTTCCATGAGGTGAGCACTTTGCAGGGACAGCGGCTTATCCAAAGGAGACCTAATTCAAGTTGGGCCAAGCATGGGGCTCCCTGGGAGACTTTGGCCTGAGCACTAAAAGAGATCATCTCTGATTGCTCACCTCCAGCCCCTGTTCCTACCTGGGTCCAGGTCCTGGGTCCATCTCCTGCATATGTGTCAACTGATACACAGATAGTGACGCCAGAGGGCGACATCATTACTTTAATCCATGTGCGCACAAGGGCTTCAAGCAGCCTGTCAGACTCAGATGAAGAGGAAGATGGTGATGATGATAAACACGGCCAGGGTTAAGATATTTTAAGCCAAACCTCTTTGAAATAAGCATGCATCACCTCTAATCAGAAGGTCTTCCTGTGAGCACCCCCTTTCTCCTGCTGTGTTCTGCATCTCAGAAAATGGACCACATGCACCCAGTTACCCAAGCCTGAAACCTGGGCATCACAGTCAGCAGCTTCTTCACTTGTTCCCTCCCCAGGATCACTTACTCCTGTCCATTCTACATCCTAAATCTTAACCCATCCACTTCTTTCCATTCCCACTGTTTGTCTTCTGCCTCCAATTCCTTTTTCCATCTACAGAGACCCACAGGCTCTGGCCTCAAGCTTGGTGTAGGTCCGTGGTTCCCAAACTTTGCTGCTCATTAGAATCACCTGGGGAGCTTTGAAAATGCTTGCTGCCACATCACACCTCAGATAAGTTAAGGCAGGAGGTAGAGGGCATGGGTGCCTCCCTGATAGCTCAGCTGGTAAAGAATCTGCCTACAATGCAGGAGATCCCAGTTCAACTTCTGGGTTGGGAAGATCCCCTGGAGAAGGGCTGGGCTACCCACTCCAGTATTCTTGGGCGTCCCTGGTGGTTCAGACAGTAAAGAATCTGCCCGCAATGCAGGAGACCTGGGTTCGATTCCTGGGTTGGGAAGATCCCCTGGAGGAGGGCATGGCAACCCAGAATACTCCAGTATTCTTGCCTGGAGAATCCCCATGGACAGAGGAGCCTGGTGGGCTACAGTCCATGGAGTCTCAAAGAGTTGGACATGACTGAGAGACTTAGCACAGCATGGGGTGGGAGCCAGGCATCAATACTTTTTAGAGATCCCCAGGTGGTTCCAGTTTGCAGTCAAGTTTGGGAACCACTCTCCCCTTGTTCTGAGACCCTCTTACACATCCTTTCACTGAGGCAATATCCACTTAATCTGGCAGGCCTCTCTTTAACATTGCTGCCTCCTGGAACCCTTCCTGCACACACAGATCTAAGCAACTGCTCCTTCCCAATGTTGATACTTACCACACACTGTGTTGTTATTTCTTTTTCAAATGTCTGCCTTACCCCCCTTACCACCACCTCCTTCCCCACGGAGTGGAAACATGCATGCAACTAATCGTCACAACAAGAGGCAATTATTCACCTTATGATTTTGAACATTGCCCCAGATTTTTATTTTTGCCGTTTATCTGTTTACAGTGTTTAAAGCGTGAAGAAAATCATTTTCTTCTTTAAATTGAATATAGACATAAAGGGGGCTTCCTAGGTGGCTTCAAGCCAGTTTTTATCTGTTTTCTATTTGAAATTCCCAAGTTGTGGCTAATAATTATCCAGGGAACTTGAGACTGGGGAAAATACCCTGTATTTAAAACTGATCTGTTATTTCCTGTTGATTATCTGTTGACATTGCTTCTCTGGTGTCCAGATTCAAGAGCTAAAAATGAAAACTCTAATGTTTGTTTGATGTTTCTCTTTTAAGGAAGCTGCGCTCTGTAGCTTTTTCTCTTTTTTTCTGTGGAATTCAGGTATAAATCGACAAATTTTTATCAGGTGTATAAGGGTATTGGTTTTAAATATGATACTTAGTGAGCCCTTTCAGTTTGAAAACAAGTTTTTCTTCACAGGGAAATTTTCTTCTATAATTTTTTTTTTTTTTACCACAAATAAGATCTTTTATTTGTCACCATTAAGAGTCTGCATTTTATTTTATTTTATTTTTTTTCCATTTATTTTTATTAGTTGGAGGCTAATTACTTTACATCATTGCAGTGGTTTTTGTCATACATTGAAATGAATTAGCCATGGATTTACATGTATTCCCCATCCCGGTCCCCCCTCCCAAGAGTCTGCATTTTAAACCGATTCTTGGACTGGTGGTTCATATCCATCAGCTCGTTCAACTTTAGCATTTGTCTCGTCCCCAGTAGCTTTTCCAGAACTACTACCTTCACCATGTAGCTCCATGAGTTTTCCCAATTCAAATTTGGGCTTCTTCAGCATTTTTACTTTTCTAACGAAGACATCATGGAGCAGATAAATAGATTGGCAAGCCTTTTCTATGTCTTTTCCAATGCTATCTGGAATCAATTTATTGACCACCTCTTTCAAGTTGTTTGTCTGCACCCCTCGGGTCATGATCTCCATCATCTTCTTGCGGATCTGGCGCACCTACTGGTGCTGGGCGTAAGAGGTCTTCCGGATCTGATTGTTGCACTTTTTAGTAAAAGCCACACAGAATAGATGAAGCAAGTAACCATCGGTAGTCTTGACATCAACGTGAGCTTCAATCATGGTCTGCCATTTTTTGACCATGGAGCACATTTTGTCATGGGTAAGATCCATACCATGAAAATTAGTCAGGCAGTTTTTGCCCTGAACATCCTCAGTAATTAGCTTGAATTTTCTAAATGCTACTTCATCATTCTGCAGATCAGCAAGACTCACTTCAAAAACACGACCTTTGAGGCTATCAGACGCGATTTTGGTTCTTTGAGTTCTCGTGACCAGTGTTTTCCCAATATTCCTTATACTGAACATAGCTGGTGCTTTCACATCATACCAGTCTTTTTTAGAAAATGGGTCAACCACTTTCTTCTTGGCTCCCTTTTTGCCTCCTTTCGTAAGGCACTAGTTCTTGCCAACCGCCATGGTGCCGCTCAGAGAGCCAAAAGGGCTATAATTTCTTAATTTCTTCTCATATTATGTAAGAATGTAGCAGAACAATTGTGTAAAGAATGACTTGAATAAATAGGTACTTACTTTCCTCACTTCACAGGGCTCTGGGTAGGCAGCTGCTGACTTGGGTTCTGTTGTTGGACAGCATCAGGGTTTCTACTGGTATCTCCTCGGTTCTCTTGTCCTCTTTTTTGTGGTTACAAGATGGCTGCTGCAGCTCCAGGCATCGTGTTTGCATTCAACGTAGGAAGAAAGGAGAAAAAAACTGCGACACTAATCATATCAGAAAAGACAATCTTTCTGGATGTCTATGGCCCATGAACCAGAACAGTCTCAAACAAGGGAAGCTGGTAATAAGTATATTTCACATATCCAGCCTCCACAGTGAAGTCAGAGTAGGAAGGAGGAGGTTGGGAACAGCCTCAGCAGCAGCATCTACCACATTTCGTCCTGGACCTGGCCTCCACATCTCTTATCTTTTTCTTCTGATCCACCTCTTTGTGTTTTTCCTCTGAATTTTGAGATATTTCTCTGTTTGTCTTTTAGACCACTGACTCAATTTGCAGCATGGACTGTCTCTATTGGATTGTTATATTTGAAAGTCACACTTTTTAGTTTGCAGGAATCTTTGTGTGTGTGCTCCAACTACATCTTTCCATGACCCTTTTTTCTTTCTTGGAAGTTCTCTTCTGTCTGTCTTGCTAGTTCTAATTTACGTGTTCACCTAGGGCTTCCTGCCTTTGTTACTGAGTCCTTTAAGCAAGTGTGATTTTTCTTTACTTGCTCATATTTTTTTCCCTTTGGTCCCCCTAGGGGTCAGGCTGTCGACATGTCCAGAGCGGCGCCAAGCCAGTGAGTGGTGGAAGACACAGCCCTTTCTGCTCTCCTGGGCCTTTGGCAAAGCAAAGGTCTGGCAAACAGTCATTCCTTCGCCGTTCTACACCCGAGGCATCCTCAGGTGTTCACTGGCCACCTGGGATCCATCAGTCTTCCAGTGCAGTTTCCCTCTGGTCCATGGTGGTCAGCTGAATGGAGCAGGTCCCCCAGGACCACACACAGCTGAAGGGCAGAAGCAGCCCCCTCCCTGAGAAGAGTTAAGGTTCTGTTGTAGGAAGGGGAACCCCTTCCAGGGCCCGAGTTGGGCTCTTGTCTAACACTCGGAAAAGAATTGTCTGAGGAGACACGTGCTGACAAAGCAAGAGATTTTATTGGGAAAGGGCACCCGGGTGGAGAGCAGGAGGGTAAGGGAACCCAGGAGAACTGCTCTGCCGCGTGGCTCGCAGTCTTGGGTTTTATGGTGATGGGATTAGTTTCCGGGTGGTCTTTGGCCAATCATTCTAATTCAGAGTCTTTCCTGGTGGCACACGCATCGCTCAGCCAAGATGGATGCTAGCAAGAGGGATTCTGGGAAGTGGACAGACAGGTAGTGTCTCCTCTCGACCTTTCCCGAACTCTTCTGGCTGGTGGTAGCTTATTAGTTCCATATTCCTTATCAGGATCTCCTGCCATAAAACAACTCATGCAAATGGTTACTATGGTGCCTGGCCAGGGTGGGCAGTTTCAATCAGTGTGCTTCCCCTAACAACTCCCCCCTGAGAGACTTCATACTCAAGATGCTTCTTGGGAATTGGGGCGGAGGTCTCTTTCTTCTGTAACTTCTTCCTGCTGTGCCTGGGCGTAGGCCTACCTAGCAGAGCAGAAGTCTCTCTCTACCTGATTTAAGTTGGGGTGTTCTATATTTGAAACCAGCTCCCACCCTTGTAGTAACATCAATTTGGCTTGGAACTGCTGGAGATAAACTTTGTAAGGAGTTGGAGTATACAGGGGCCAAATAGGAGGCCTAATAGGATAGTTATCACTGGACCCATGAATGGTAAGAGCCAAGAAGGGAAAGAAGGGGAACTCCATACACCTGTTGAACTTAAATCCCGGATCTTTGTAGCCTGTTCTAAAAGCCCCTTGATATCTTCTTGGACCTGCCCAGACTGGTTATAATAAAAACAGCATTCTTCCTTTAGATATAGACAAGTGCCTCCCTGTCCTGCAGTCAATAAATCTAGGGCCCGACAATTTTGTAGGACCATTGCGGCTAGGGAGTCTAACTGGTATTGTAGGCGTTGGAGGGTCCTCGCTCTTTTTTCTATGGATACAGCAGTGTTTGTAGAAAGCTGCTGAAATTTCTGTAAAGTTCCCCCCACTGCAGCTCCTGTTAAACCAGCAGTCAGTCCTAATGCCAGGAAAATAGGGGTAAGTATTACCGCACGACGTATCCTCTGGTTGGTATATACTGGTAAAGGCAAGGAGGTATTACTCCGGGCCAGATCTATGTGGGGCGTGACATCCTAGGGAGCATGTTCCTGACCAAAAAGGTGGTAGGGATAAATAAGCTTTATCCCCACATATGACATAGACACCATGACTAGGTTTAAGTTGGGCAGCAAAATGGGTTTGCCAAAGAGGAACAGGATTTCCATCTGCCTTACAACTGGAACATGGCATAATGGAACAGGGGCAGTCTTTTAGCAGCTGGGAGGAGACTGTCACTCCACTTGCTGCAAAACCGGCAGCAGTGAGGGCATTTAGAAACGGATTTAAGTGTTGTGAGGCATCCTGGGTTTTGTCCTCAAGGTAGAGAGTATTTTGTTTGAGCTCCCACCATAGGGTTAGGTTTTCAGGGGTGGGTACCCCTACAAGGGAATAACAGGGGTCAGAGTTGCCCGTCTGGTTTAGAAACCAGGACGAATGGGTGTGATTCTTTGGTCGTCTAGAACAGAATATGGATTTTTGAGACTGGTTAATAGCATCTGAGGAGAGCCTCATGTTCGGGGATAGGTATAGTGTGTCGGTTCTGCCAGAACCTCTAGTTCCCAAACTTTGGGCTAAATCGTAATATCCTAGTGAAATTTCTAGGTCCCGGTTTTTCCCATCAGTTTCAACAGTGAAGGTCACCCCGCATTGTGAGTCGTCTAGATTTCCCACTGACACCCCTGTTAGGGAGTGGCTTTTTAGACAGATAGGGAAGGTCACTTGGGGGATGTTAGTCAAGAGAGAAAATAAGGGCTCAGGTGGGATTGCAGATGTCATCGAGGAGGTAAATAGAGACAGTTGTTGCTGGTACCAAGGCATGAAGTTTTTTCCCCTTTTTTCCCAAAAGGCCATACTGTGACCAGATGGGGTGCGCTGAGTAACAGCCCGTAGCTCGGCTGGAAGGATGGGCCATTGATACCCTGGGATAGGTTGGACATACCCCCAACTTCTGCCATTAATGCAGATCCAGCATGGGATGGTTAGGTTGAATTGAGAAGCAGTGTGATTTGCAAGTGTATATGCCTCGTTTAGGGAGAGATTAATAGCCATACAGGGAGATATGATTAGAAAGAGGAAGAACATCATATGATGCATTTTACTTATCTGAGGGAGAGTTGATGGGGTTCTGCCTGAACAAGAGCCTGAGATCTTCAACAGGTTCACAGGAATAGCTGTCCTCTGGCTTTGGAGTCTCAGTTTCTGTCTCCCCCTCCTGTAGGCCATAGGGTTCTATTCTAGAATTGTGGACCCAGGCAGATAGACCCTTCACTTTTACAGCAGTTGAAGTCACCAGAACAACCTGATATGGCCCTGTCCATTTCTCAGACAGCTGGTTTGGACTCCCTTTTTCTTGCCAGGTCTTTACTAATACTTGATCCCCTGGCTCTACCTGGGGATTTTTCAAGTCTTCCTGTGGTTTAGGGAGGATCTGTTCTCTATACCATTGGAGTTCTTGTTGAAATCTTCTCAGGTCGATTATATGTTTTAAGAGTGTGTTGGCATCCTCATCAAAAAACAAATCAGAAGTTAAGAATGGACATCATTTCATAAGGACTTAACAATAGTGGCCATTTGGGGGATGTCCGTACCCTCATGAGGGCTATGGGTAGCATATGTGTCCACTTATTATGTGTTTCTTGACATAGCTTAGCCAGAGCCCTTTTAAGAGTCTGGTTGGCTCTCTCTACCTTTCCTGAAGCTTGAGGCCTCCAGGATGAGTGGAGCCGGTATTTTATGCCTAAGCATGCGGCTAGGTTCTGGGATATCGTGGCTGTAAATGAGGGTCCATTGTCACTCTGAAGTGACTGAGGCAGCCCAAACCTAGGCACTATCTCCTTCAGCAGAGCTTTACAGACTTCTGTAGCTCTCTCTGTCTTAGTAGGGAACGCTTCGATCCATCCTGTGAATGTGTCAATAAAGATTAGCAAATAAGAAAACCCTTGGGTCTTTGGCATGGCTGTAAAATCTACTTGCCAGTCCTCTCCTGGGTATGATCCCCAATGTTGGACAGGTTTAATTAGAGGAGGTGGCAAGGGTCTGGTTTTTGGATTATTTCTTAGGTATCACAGTTCTGTGTGACCTGTCTAACAACCTTAGCTAACTGGGGATGGTAGAGAATAGGCTTAAGCAAGATTTCTAGATTATCTTTTCCAAAATGGGTGCTC